TGATGATTTGTGGGGAACCCCCTTTCCCCTTAACCCCACCCAGGAAGACATTAAAAATGCCAGGGCATAGATCAGGTGCATCTTAGTCCTTAGGTGACTTCTTTAAGGAGATCTTTGTAGCAGATTTGCCCAATGCATTACCAAAATATCCCATTTCTGTCAAATTGATTCTGATTCATAGCAATCCTATAAGACAGAGTAGAAGTAACCTATAGGATTTCCAAGACTGTAAACCTTTGAAGAATCAGGCTACCATATCCCTCTCCTGCGGAGGGGCTAGTGGGTTCAAACCACTGACCTTTGGGTTAGCAGCTGAGTGCTTTCACGACTGCACCACCAAAGCTCTAGCCCACTGCTTCATTTGATTTCTTGACTGCGGCTTCCATGGGTGTTGACTGTGCAGCAATGTGAAATGAAGTCCTTGACAACTTCAATATTTTCTGTGTATCATGATGTTACTTATTAGATCAGGAGTGAGGATTTTTTTCGTTCTTTCTTTACATTAAAATGTAATCCATAATGGAGGCTGGTGGGTACTTACAAAGTTCTCATTAAAGCAATCCTTCAGGAAAGCAAGGTCGGTAGGAAATGGCATGCAAAACAAAAATGAACTATGATGTACTAAATTATCTCCAAAATAGTCTTGGCAGCATTTGCTAAAATAGGATTTAAGTAAACTAACTACAAAAATTTACAGCTTTTTTAGAATGCTTACTCTAAGTTGTTCAAATGTGCAGATGGTAAAATGAAGTTCTGTTAATGTAAACTCTTAGCCTATGTGATTATGGGCTACCTAGTCTATGGTATCAATGAATGAACTAGACACCCAAGATAACAATTAGATGAAGACTTGATAGAGTCTTGATAGCGATCATGTAGAGATCATGAGTAGTAATCCCAGTATCTTGCTCAAATCATCAGGTAAAATATGAAATATGGCCACACATGCCTCCTACACTAGTTTCATCTTTTGCTTTAAAGTATGAAAATGAATGCTAGAAAAAAATTGAAAAATGAGTAGAGGTAGAAACAACCAACTGCTGAAAAGTGGTTATGATTGCTTTGAACACCACATGTATGGTAATGTTACTATCAAACAAAAAATGTCATTTTCCATGTAACATTATGCATGTCCCAGAATAGTTATCATTACTGTTATTCTTCTACAGTCTACATTTGTAAATATATTTCTTGAGCATAGTTTCTGCAAAATGTCAAATTGTTCTTTCAAACATGCCCTTTTCACTTCAATTGTGAATAAATTTAATTAAATACTGCTTATCTAATTTCATAAGCACAGTTAATTAAAAAGAACTTTTGAAAAATATAAATGCATTCATGTTTCTTAATTATCTGATGCGATATGTTCTAGCATTGAAAAGATTGTCATTATGACACAAGCCACATATATATACACAGATAAAAGTAGTTACCTTAGAATAAACCATATGTGTCAGAGTAAAACTGCTCTACAGGGTTTCAATGATGAATTTTTCAGAACTACATCACCATAAAATCCACCACATTTGGAAATTCTTCCTCATATGATTCCCAGCCCCCGTGAAGACTGGAGAAGGGCTGACGGATGTGATTCATGGTGCTGGCGAGGCACGCTGAAAGCACCATGGGCACTAGAAGAAAACGCAAACCTGTCCAGGGGAAGGACAGCCAGGTTCTCCTTAGAAGTGAGAGTTTTGAGACTGTGTCTGTCATTTGAAATGCAATCAGTAAAGAAACTGGTACCAGAAATGAGTACTGCGCTAGTAAATACCTGAAATGTAGAAGTGGCTTTGGAAATGAGTAAGGAATAGAGGCAAGAAGAATTTTGATGTGCTGCATAAGTGAGGCCTTAGTTTGTCCTGGAGAGACTGCTGGAAGAATTACTAGACATCCAGGGCCATTCTTAGGAAGGCTAAGAAAGAATGACAGTGATTATGAAAACTCTATTCTATGAACAAAGTGTTATAGAAATGTAAGTATGGCATGTGCTCCCTGAAAGAAACTAACATACATGTTTTGGATGTTGCAGGGAAGGTGGTGCAGGAACAGAGAACGTGCTTGAATCACATTCCAATATTTGATGGGAGAGAGAACATAGACGTGAAAAGTAGGGATAGTTGACTGAGATTTCCATGCAGGACATTAAAGGGATAGTGTGGTTCTCCTTGTTGCTTATAATGGAATGTAGAAAGAAAGATATGGAACTAAAAATTAATTGTGCAAATGAAACAATATTTGGAAAATGCTGTTGTCCAAACTAAGGGCACATGTCCTAGAACGCTCATTATGAATGCGGCTACTCCGTCTTCTGTTAAAGAGAATAAGGATGCGACTGACAGACCTATTTAACTACAGAAGTAAAAAATCTGCCAAATTATAATGAAAAAGAAGAAGAAGGAAAGTCACCTACCTTCTGGAATTCAATAGGAATATGTGGGCCAACAAGGAGTCCAGTAGCATAGTGGGTTATGTGTTGGGCATGGTAAGCAGTTCTAAACAACCAGCTGCTTCTCAGGAGAAAGATGAGGCTTTTGATTACCATGAAGAATCACAGTCTCAGAAATACACAGGGGCAGTTCTTCCCTGTCCTATAGGATTGCTGTGAGTCCGAATCCACTTGACGGCAGTGAGTTTGGTCTTTGGAATTGGGTCAATGCAGCAACATGTTTGCATACATCCTCCTTTTCTTGGAATAGTTCAGCGATCAGCAAACTTCTGCAAGGATTATGGCAGGCAAGATTACCACCATGGCAAAGGCTAGAAAACGGCTTCTTAGGTTTCAGATCTCCAACAACTTGGTTCTGGAGTGTGGCACGGCCATTCAGCTGGGTCATGAGGATAAGGCCTCACTCCGAAGCTGAGGAGGTGCAGCAGCCATGCTCACAGGGCAGGAGAGCAATGCCTATCTGCTAGGGGTGAGAGGAGAGAGTTTCCACACAGATGGCCATGGAGAGTGGGGCTGTTGCAAAGAGGAGAGCACCATTTTCTCAGGAGGCCTAGAAAGTGAGACTGGAGCCCAGGACCAAGGAACCTCCATCCAGAGTGTGGTCAACACTCAAGAGTCTGGAAGGTAAAGCCATTGGCCAACTGGATGCGGAAAACAGATGAGTATTTTCAAGGAATGAGAGCAAATTAATTTGTTATACTGTGTTTGGGATTTGCTTTGTATTTGTGGTTTCTCTCATTTTGTCTTGGGAATATCAATCCTATGCTGTATTCCCCAATTGCAACTTGGAAATAGATACCTTGCATTCCAGATTTCACAGATAGAATGGAATCTTACCCCAGGATCAATTATGCCATGATTCTCACTCATATTTGACATTTTTTACTCACTTATGGCCATTGAGTCAGTGCTGACTCACAGGACAGGGTAGACAGGGTGACCCTACAGGACAGGGTAGAACGGCTCCTGTGAGTTTCTGAGACTGTCACCTTTATGGGGGTGGAAAGCCCTGTCTTTCTCCTAAGGAGTGGTTGGGGTTTCGAGCTGTTGACCTTGCAGTTAGTAGTCCAGTGTGTAACTACTATGCAACCAAGGTTCCTTAAGTGATGCCAAAGATGAAATTTTAAACTAAGAGTTCATATAAAAGTGTGTAACTGTTAGTTATACAAATGGGAAGAACGTGAATCTCGTACTAAAGCATGGGGCGGAGGTTAGAATGTTACTGAACTTTGTCTCTATCCCACCCCTACCCCTACCGCCACCCCTCTAAAGTAAGTGCTTTATTCTATTCTCTGTTCTAAACTCTATTCCCATGAGTGTTATCCCCTTTTGGGAATGGGTTTTCTTTGGGTAATCGTGGGACTCCAGGATCTTGCCACAGTCCATAGACTAAGGGATAATATGTATTTTATACTGCAAACATTTATCAAGAATTTTAGCAACTTGACCACATAATGACTAGCCCCTGTGGCAAAGGCCATCCAGAACCCTTGTCTTAGGTTAACACAAATAGAGTGGATGCACAGCAGCTTCCTACTTGTTCTTGCCGCACTGCCCCTCTCCCCACTGCTGGTCCCCCTGGAGTTCAAAATGTGGCAAAAGGTACAGGTATTGGGGGGGAAACTTAGAACTAAAGTTATATTTAATACTCTCTCTGAGTATTTTTAAATGAAGGGACTATTCTAAGGGCCTTTATTGGAAGTGCTGCCAGATTCCTTCTCAGAAGATCGCACTCTGGAAGCAACAGGAACGGTCTACAAGCCACAGAGAGAAAGACCCACAGTTTTTCTTCTCTAGTTTCACAACTCTCTTGTTAGCTACACTCTTCCATTTGTTAAAGAATGGTCACCTTTTATACAAAGATTCATTTGGAAGACCTCACCCTTGGTTGAAAATAAACCTTCCTGTAGACATGAGAAGTGGAAGGGCTTCAAGCATACTATAATAAAGAAGAATCTTTTCAAAGTGGTTTATCTATTGACAGCAGAAGGAAAATTATCTATTTCAGTAGTTTTCAATAACTTGTAAGCTTCCAAGGAGAGAAGTCATATTGATTCACCTTTGTGTTCTCAGTCACTAGCACTGTGATGGCCACACAGATTTCTGTGTAAATGAATACTTGCACCATGAGATGAACTTGTCTACCTTTAAAAAGTTTTTTTTTAAATCTACTTAGCCCCAAGCGAAAGTTGAGAGGATTTAGTAGACAAGTAAGGAAAGGAGTGCTTTAAATTAGCTAAAAAGAGAAGCTGTTCCAGTGGAAAAGAGTGATTAAGGAGAATGTGTGCTAGTGATTCCAGCGTTACCTTCCTTCATGCTGAGAGCCTCCAGTTTGGCCGGCAAATCTGAGGTTCCCTCTGCAGCAGCTGAACCCTGGATGTCCGGTACGGCATTCCTGCGGCCTGTCCTTGCTGAAGATGCAAAATTGGTGACCACAGACTCCACATCAGTCATTTCTGATGAATCTGTCCTCATAGCAACATCTACAAATAGAACATGCACATGAAGAAGACAATGTTCACAATGGTGGCTGAAATGCAAGGCTAAGTCACAAACACATCAGGCTGCACTTTGAATCATAGATCCATCCCTTCATCTATGTCTATTGGTATGGTCCTGGAAGTTCCATTTGCGCATTTGCCGAACAGAACAGGAAGTTCTAAGCATGAGCCAGATTGCTATAAATAAACCCCTGAGCCAAATGAACTACTTTAGGGTGCAGTAATCCCTTGACTTTTGTTCTGCATTTTCTATGCTTGGATCAGTCAAACTCAGGCTTTGAAGAAAATGAACACTGACTTGTTTGCAACCACTCCTGTAGAGACTCTTCCTACCACTTATTTGCTGTGGTGCTTGTTGAAGTTGAAACTAAATCACTATAATTTGCAGAGACCAAACAAAACACAATCTGCTCCTACTCTTGAGAAATGAGAAATTGGATTTTATCTCAAATATTGCACTCCCCACCACACAAAAAGACTTAGGCATTTTCCCCTCTAGCCTTAGACCTAATTTTTAAAACACTTTTACAGGCACATAATCCATATAGCATACAATCCAATAGTCCAAACACATCAAGAAAGAGCTATATAATCATTACCACAATCAATTTTAGCACATTTTCTTCTTTCTTTCACTTATTGTTATTAGCTCCCAACCTCCCCTGCCACATCCCCCCAAAACCATTAATCCATTTACTTTCTCTGTAGATTTATTTATCCTGGATCTCATATTCAGAAAGACAAAAAAATAGCCACAACAACAAAAACAATACCTAACAACAATAACAAAGGAAAACAGAGAAAAACCTCAATCGAAAACAAAGCAGAAAACATTAAAAATCTAGAAAACTTTAAATGGGTCAAAAGGGAGATCAAATGACAAAGTGATCATTTTAACCTAACTACATCTGCTATAACCCACTTTCCAATGCCCTCTGCATGACAACAAGGCTCTTCACAACCCTGGTCTGGTCAGGGGGTACTCACTGGAGGCTTAATTCACCCAGCCCACCCCCCGTTCTTTTTTTAACCAAACCAACTTTTTTTTTTTTCCGTAAAAGAGGTTTTTTAATATTATAAAATAATCACACATCACAGTCTCCTTTGTTAAAATGGTCAAGTTTGGATTTGTGAACTATATGCACTGTCAAAAGCCACTGGCTTTTCTGCGTAAGAATGTTGAAAATAATGGGTCACAAGGGAGATCAAATAAAACGTTAAATTTTAACCTAACTATATCTACCCTAACTGACTTTACAACACTGATGGATAACAAGGCTCTTCACATCCTTTGAATCTGGTCAGAGGGAATTCACCAGAGGCTTAATCTGTGTGTGGATCCTGCAAATGGATTTTGGGTTCCTAATGTCATCCATAGCCTTCTGAAAATCAGGCGTTCACAATTTACGTGCTGATATTATGAGGGGGTACCCCCCAAAACCCAGAATTTTATTTCAAAGCTATGTATTTATTTATTTAGGTTTAGGGTTTTTTGGTTTGTTTAAAAATTTTTTTTTACAAAACAACCTTATCATCTTTAAAGCACTTTCCATTACACTTAATACATTTGTCAAATCTGTGATTCCATTCTTGGAAAAAAA